AGTATCCAATTTAATTTCACCTTTGCATATCGTCGATACATTGTTTCCACAATACAGAGTCGTGCATGGAAGATTTGAAATGGATGCCTTCGAAACTTTAATGGGAAATTCACACGTCTCGTCATCAGCAAAGACCTGCTCCAATCGTCAAACATTCTGAGCAACATGATGTATTTCAAAATAGATGATGTTTAACTTAACACAACAGTAATATAATAAGTATTGATCACCTCGTTGGCCTGAAAATATGTTCCGTTAAGTGGAAACTTTCCCCTCATCGCTGTTCGGGTTGGTAACTGAACATATATGGTCATTTCGATTTTTGAGTGATTCATGCAAATAATTAAATATAGAAGAAAGTGATTAACATGCAAATTTTCTCTCACCACAAGTGTTCCGTAGACCGTGTCTTCTCCAGAGTCGCGTTCTTTCTTGTCGGGATTTTCTGAATCACAGTAAAATTATATTAATACGAGTGAAAGAAAATCGAGATGTGTACTAATGTCATGTTGTTACCTTTAGGCCAAATGGCAAGTAGATATGGACATGAGTCATCGACTACTCTTTTCTCTATAGCTAGCTGCATTATCATCGATTAATCTAGTTAATTTTGATATGTTTTCCATTGGAATTTACTAAACACAAGTTACCATCTAAATTTTTACTGAAGAACAACCTCAGCCAAAATGCAGTGCGAGTCCAGGAGCACATAACTGAAACAATTAAATAAATAATGTTGTGACTGATCAAAATGGAAGGAAAATAAAGAAAACACAGACACATGGATTTTCATTGATACAGAGAATAAAAAAAATGGATTTTCATCTATGTAAACAAATCTATAGGAGCAACTCACACTCGATGCTCGGTCCTTAAGTAGACCGCATTCTTCAATTTAGACACCGGCACAGAAACAGGAGATGTCGTGTTGAGAAACATTAAAGCCTTGGTTATTTCTCCTTCTTCGGCAGACTTCTCTCTGCTCTCATCTGATTTACCAAAGTCCTCAAGGTCCCATTCAAGAGGTTCATGTGATTTTAGTTCGCCTGACCCTTGTGGCCGCTTGGGGAAAACACACTCAATTGGGAGCATAGCTGTTTCATTGCTGGTCGAGCTTTCAGATCTATCTTCAAATATATTGCTTGAGTGTTCGTTATTTTTCCGGTGCTCCAGCATTAAGGCAAGACGAGCACTGCATATTTTTGCCGTTCAGTGTTTTTTCATATACTTGTTAACTAATAAATATTAAGGTAATGTATCTGTACCTTAGAGCACTCGCGTAGTGCCTGCATTCGGCTTTCATGGGGCAAGCACTGCAGTTTGGGTTTCTCTTTGTGCAGAACACCTGAGTGTAATTAAGTGTTATTATTTGTCGCATTTTTAAAAAGTACGAGTGTTTGATTGAAATAATACCTTTCCGAAAGTGATCATCTGGCAATGTAGCTCATACCTGCACCACATATAATTTGTTGTGATACAAAGTTCTTGACAAACTATATTTTTAATGCATTTTATTATTATTATTATTATTATTATTATTATTATTATTATTATTATTATTATTATTATGGAATCAAAATGATTACAAGAAATTGGAGGGGAGCCGAGATACTATCTGGGCCCCCACTCCTTTTGCAATGGAAAAGCTAATACGAGTGAAAATATGGAGAGCGGCACGTGCCCCTGCATCCTGAGATACCGAATACTTCTGAATCCTCTTGAGT